GTTGTGTGCCTTCATGCCCTTTTTATTTGCTCTCCAAAGGGGAGAAATTTCTTAATACAGTTAGAAAGCAGTCTTGTTCAAACAAACCAACAAACAAAAAAGATGTCCCTGTAATGCTAGCACTTCTGATGAAGAGACAGAAGGATGAGTTCATGGCCACCCTCAGCTACATACACAAGAGTTCAAGGACAGCCTAGCTACATGAAGTCCTGTCTCATAAACTTTAACTCGCCTTTCGCACACCTCTGATTTTGCCTTCTTAAGTTAGTAGTGGCAGGACCATCTCAATTTTGCAGAGACCATGATCTTCATATGTGGACATCATGAAGTAGCAATTTAGAGAGCATTTAGCTTTCATTTTTTACTCCCATATGAAGCATTTTAGTGTAAATCATTGGAGTACTTCCTTATTCCCCTTCTGAAAAAGATATATGGACAGTTCATTTCAAGTTACAGCTCCAACATCACCTCTCTGAACCTCATTCTTAGCTCTTAGGGACTATTTAACAATCTGCTCGTGCCTGTATTATGTGCTATGACACTGCATTGTAGTTACTTAGCTGTTTCTTCCCTTGTTCTGTAAGTATTGATGGTGAGAGTGATGTTTCACTGCTCTTGATATGATGTGTCTGTTATCCAGCACAGTGCCTCACACAGAATAGTTACTGAAGAACTGTTGGGATGGGTGAGTGGGTTATGGATGGATGGATATACTCACTTGACTTAACTAAATTCTATTTTTAATTGCTCAGTTACTGGTTGCAGAGGGGATGAGATGTATTGTAAGAAATGGATCAATACAGAACCTCACTTTCCCTTTCCAGTAGCAAGGGATATCTATGTTTTAAAAACAACAAAAGTTACTCAGATTTTGTGTACCTCAGTGAAGACGATATGAGAATGACATGTAATACTATGTAAAGAGTATGCTTTTGAAAGCAGTTCGTATGCTTACACTTTTGAAGATTTTGTTATCATTCATATCAGCTCAATCCCAAACATACCATTTGCTCCTTGAAAAATTCATTCTTTCTACTGTGGCAATGGTTACTATTATTTCCAATATAAACAAATATATGTTTTCTAAAAGTTGTACTTGGTGAACCTGGCAAAGGAACCTGCTGATCCAAGAGAAAACTGACAAGGGGCAAAAGCTACTGGGTTTGATGAGCAGAATTCAACCACACAGACTGAGGTACAAGTGGTGGTTCCAAGTAGTGATGAATGAAATCCTTCACTAGTGGTTATTCTGTTTGCAAGTCCCGAGGATGAAAGAGCCATATGTGTTAGTGTGTTTTGATTACTGCCCACAACAATCTTGTGACTGACAGTATTGCTTTGAGACTCTTCAGAATGATCAGAGATCTGGGAGGCAGAGTGCTTCCCTGGGGTACAAGAAAGTAAGCATGGGAAGTATGGGAGGCTGACTAAGAGATTTGGGGAGAGATGAGATAGAGAAGTAAGAATGAGCCTTAGCCAAGGTCTTAGGTAGCAAAGGCAACTTTGCAAATCAATCTTTGGATCTGTGATATGGCTGAGTGGTAGAGCATTTGTCTGTCATAAGTTCAATTCCCAGTACCACCTGAAACAACAAAATCAGTCTGTAGAGTTAGTGAAATGTCTCTGTTATTATTTGTATCTACATGGTACAGGATGGGGGGGGGTGTTTGAGTTAGTTGTAAATGATTTTGTCAATGTCTGCCCAACCTCTGCCCTGTCCCCATTCCAAGTGTACTCTGATTCCAGAATGACTCTAGCTCAGGTTCTGAGGATCAGTCCCAAGACCTCAAGAATGTCAGACAAATGTGAGCACCCAGCTTTTCCCACAGGTAAGCTAGACAGTCAGTACATCTATTTGTTGGTTTTTCCAGCCTTGGGACCTTAATCCCAGTGCCTACCTCTGGGAAAAAATCAAATGGACCAAGCAGGCACAAGCTAGAGCCAGGAATTGGGATCTGAGTTCTTCATTCAACTGATAGTCACTTGAGGCAGGGAGATCTCTGATCCATAGCCAGCTGGGTCTATATAGTGAGTTATAGGACAGTCACGGCTACACAGAAACCCTGTCTTGGGGGGGAAAGATCATAACAGCTACTGTGTGTTAAACGCTGATTGGTGATCCAGAAGTGCAGAAATGAATATTCAGCTTCAGTCCTTGAGAGTGATCAGCAAATAGGAAATTACAACAAGCAGTAAGTGCTGACAGGGTTTCATTTAAAGCGCCTTTCTGGGCGTTATCTGTAGAAATGTCCCACAATCAACTCCCAAAATACTATATCATATATCCTTAAGTATGGAAGTGACTGTAGAGTACCACTGAGCTGTATATCCAGTACGGTACTTTAACTAGAAAATAAGAAAGTAGGTAAAAGGGTTTGCAGAGAATATGGGATATGTGGTAATTGCCAAGGGTTAAATATTACACAAACCAATTGGGAATATTTTACCTTGATGAACCTTTCTTGTTTTTGCCTTGGTATTTTACTTTTTAAAAAGGGGGTGGGGTGGGGCGGGGCGGGGCCTGGAGAGATGGCTCAGTGGTTAAGAGCATTGACTACAGCTCTTCCAGAGATCCTGAGTTCCAGTTCCCAGCAACCACATGGTGGCTCACAGCCATCTATAGTGGTATGTTGTCCTCTTCTGTCAGGCTGGTGTATGTGCAGATAAAGCACTATACACATTAAAAACAAGTTGTGTGTGCAAGAGTCCAGAACCGGATGTATGGTATTTTGGCGCTGGAGAACAGGTGGTTGTGATATGCCTGATATATGTGCTGGGAATCATGCTGCGGTCTTGTGAAGCCCGGGTTGGCCGGCCTCATACATGGCCAAATCAGGTCTTAAACCATCCTTCACTTCCTAAAGGTTGAAATTGCAGACGTGCGCCGCTTCATCCGGTGAGAGGGCATTCCAACGAAAACTAGACTTCGAAGCATGTAAGCAGGAAATGATAGTTCCAGTTATTAAACGATAAAAGTTCTAGGTTTTACGCCTTCTCAGAGCAGTAAGCGTACGAATACTTGTAGCGGGACCCACGTTATGAAAAAAAATGCCCACAGCTGACGCTTCAAAAAGCATCCTCAAATCTTGGAGCCATTCGGGTGCGCCCTAGTGTCAGGACAAGGGAGGACCCCGCTCGGCTCGGTGGTGCACAGACTTGGCTGAAACACATCGCCTGTCCCTTTCCGCACTCCACATGCACTGGATAAACTACCGTCGCCTTCTATGTGGGCTTTGTGCATCTCCAACCGACCACCTCACTAAAGCCGAGAGCACTTCTGGCTGAGCAGAGCCCGGCCCAGTAGACCCGACCTACCGCCAACTCACTTCCGGGGCACGACTACCCTAAGCGGAAGGGCTTTCAGCCCGGGTCCCGCTGTCGCCCCTCCCCTCGGCCTTTTGCGCGACTAGGGCGGGACTTCCTGTGTCGTGTCTCCTCAAGCGAGCCGGTACTGCTCTGCCCCGCGGTGCGGGTCACCGTCTCCCCCGGTGCTCGCCAGCCCCAGGGTGTCTGTCCCCGGGTGGGAGGGCGCCATGGAGGCGCCGCCGCCCGCGCCCCGCAGCCGCCTTTGCCGGGTCTGGGGTCCGTTCCCCCGAGTCTTCGCTGCCGGTGCTGTGGCTGCGGATCCCCAGGACTTTGCGGAGGATCGGGAGCCGCATTCACGTGTCTCAGAGCCGGGTTTCCCGGAATCCGGATGGGACCGCCTCCGGCACCTGTTTGCCAAAGAGTAAAAACGCCGCGGGTGTGTGGGGAGGGTGACTCGGGGTCATCGCAGCGACGCTGCCGGAGCGATCTCTGCCCTGCCGGAGTTGGTTGACACGCCCGCTGGATTTTAGAGTCAGACTCATCCAAAATCACGCTCTTAAAATAGCATCGTACCCCGATTTTACATTCTGGAAAAATCGAGTCAATCCGGCTACTGTCCTGTGGTAATCACTGGGAACTGTATTTAGAGGTCCACGCTAGCATTCCTCTTCATGTTTCATTTGGCCTCAAGCTTTGATCTTTCTTGGCCGGTAGTGGCCCTGTAGACCTCAAGTGGGCGTCGGGGAAGGGCCGAGAGAGTTGTCAGCCTTATTTTTATTTTGCACGAGAAACTAAAATTAGTGACGATGTTCCCCTTCCCTTCTCTGCTTTTTCCTTCCCCTCTGCCCCGTGTTCTCACCTCCACCTTTAAAAGTTATGTTTGTGTGTGTGTACACACACGAATGCAGGTGCCCTCAGGCCAGAGGCATCAGACCCTGGTGAATTTGGAGTCACGTGTAGTTGCAAGTCAGCTGACAGGATTCCAGGGAACTGAACTCGGGTCCTTTGCAAGATTAGTGCCTGAGCCGGGCGTTGGTGGCGCACGCCTTTAATCCCAGCACTCCGGAGGCCGAGGCAGGCGGATCTCTGAGTTCGGGGCCAGCCTGGTCTACAAGAGCTAGTTCCAGGACAGCCTGCAAAGCCACAGAGAAACCGTCTCGAAAACCAAAGGAAAAAAAAAAAAGATCAGTACATGATCTTAACTGCAGTCACCTCTTCAGCGCCCCCCCCTGCCCTTTTTTGAGACAGGGTCTTGCTATGAAACCCTGGCTGTTACGTGTAGACCACCAGCCTGGCCTGGAGCCGGAAGCAACATTCCGTTCTCAGCCTCCCAGATTCTGGGACCACTGGCCTGTGCTAGGCCAGTTAAGACCTCGTCGGCCACAGGAGCTGCACTCCCAGATCTACCTCACTTCCAGAAACTAGATATTAAAATGAACAATGTGACGAGCAAATGATTAGTTCCTTGTATTACTTTCACCTAATATTTATTTAACTTTTTTATTACTAGTGAAAGTTTAACCTTTCTTGAAGTAATTTACCATACTACCCTGTGTTATCAATTGATTAAATTAGTTGGGCCAAGGTAGCTGACAGACTTGTATTTAATTATTCTATTAGTTTCATCACGTTTTTATTTTGTCTTTTTAAGAAAATTATATTTGTTTTTATTTTATGTGTATGGATGTTTTGCCTGCATGTATGTCTGTGTGTCCCGTGCCTGATAATGTCAGATCCCCTGGAAATGGAGTTACAGACAATGTGAACTGCCATGTGTGGGGACTAGGAATGGATTCTGAGCCCTCTTCAAGAGCAGTACTGTGCTCTTTAACTGCTAAGCTGTTGCCCCAGCCCCTCGTGATCTTTGTTTTAGGAAATACTATGGCAGATATTTCTCAAAGCTCCTTCCTAAAGTTTGTATATTTTTGAGATCTTCTGTAGTATATAGGAGATTTATTTTAGTTTTTGAGGCAATGTCTACCTGGGTTGTAGACCATAGTAACCTCTTGCTTCCACCTCCCAATTGCTGGGATTACAGACTTGCATGACTATGACCCACACAAGACAGTCATTTTGATCGGTATTATAAACCACAGAGTATTGGAACTAAACAAAACTTGAGAAATAATCTAACGCAGTTTTTATGCTTTCATCCATCATGTGAAAGGGAAAAGGAAGGTTCAGAGTGACTGATCTGACTGCATGATGTTTAGCAGACCCCAGATCACAACACTGTTCCTATGCCTACTTCCATCCCGTTCCTCAGTCCTGTCACCTTTCCACCATTCTTTAGCTGCTTGCACTGACTGTGACATTTTAGAGTCTTTACTGTTTTTATATTTATTTCATTTTCTTTCCTGGGGGACTATGAGATGGCATGCTAGCCTCAAATGCCTGTGTAGCTGAGAATGACCTGATCCTCTGCCTCCATCTTCCAAGTGCTGAGATTACAAGAGTGTACTGCACACTCAGCCTGAGCCTTTATGGCACTAAATTGAGGTAAAGATTACCGTCATTGAACTAACTATTCAAAGTGTTAAACAAAGAGGCAAAGCGTTGCTGTCTTCTGGCTTGTTAAACTTCAAGTCCTTTTACATTTTTTTCTGAGTTTTACAGTAGATCAATTTTTTTGTTTGTTTTTAGTTTTTTTTTTTTCTGAGACAGTGTTTCTCTGTATTGCTTTGGAGCCTATACTGGAACTCACTCTGTAGACCAGGCTGGCCTGGAACTCACAAGAGGTCCACCTGCTTCTACCTCTCGAGTGCTGGGATTAAAGGCATGTGCCGCCAACGCCCAGCCATAGATCAGTTTTTATGTAGATGAGTTTTTAAAGTTCTGTTCAATATAAAATACATAAAATTTAAATGATGGCAGCTCTCCTATTAATGTAAATGTAAGGATTTGTTTTCTGGAATTTTAAGTTTTGTATATGAAAATTGTGGTGATTGAGAATTAGGATCCCACACTTTCAGAAGATAGTAATCTAAATACTGGTTCATGTAGGAGGGTCACTATAGGACTGCTGTATTGTTTAACTATTTTAAGAGTCTGTCCTGGAAAGACAGGGCGTTGGTGGTGCATGCCTTTAATCCCAGCAGCACTCAGCACTTGGAGGCAGAGGCAGGTGGATCTCTGAGTTCGAGGCCAGCCTGGTCTACAAAGTGAGTTCCAAGACAGCCTCCAGAACAATACAGAGAAACCCTGTCTCGAAAAACCGGGGGAAAAAAAAAGAATCCATCCTGGAAACTCTTAAAGTTCTAGTTTTTATATATTTGAGAGACATAATTTGAATTAAACAGCTTTTCCTTATTTTAGTTTGGCCTTTGCTGCCTATTGCATAGTAAATTTTCTCAATACTTCCCCCCCCATTTTATGATTTTTATGATGCCTGCAGTGACATCACTTGAGGTGAAGGCAGAAGGATTAGGAGGTCCCAGACAATGTGAGACATTTTCTCGATAAAGTGTCTCACTGTGCTCTGCAGGTGGACCTGGATCTTCCTCGCTCAGTGAATTTCCTGTCTCAGTCTCCCAAGCGTCATGACTATAGGCTGGAGCCATTGTGATAGCGTCCAGTGCTCTTTGTAGTGCCATCTGAGTATATCATAAAACGAGTTTAGTAAGGAGTTTGACTTTTTTTTTTTTTTTTTTTTTTTTTTTTGGTTTTTACGAGACAGGGTTTCTCTGTTTTGGAGGCTGTCAGTCCAGCCTGGCTTCGAACTCACAGAGATCCACCTGCCTCTGCCTCCTGAGTGCTGGCATTAAAGGCGTGCGCCACCAACGCCCGGCAGGAGTTTGACTTTTTAAAGGATACTTATTTTTTATTACATGTGTTTGAATGTTTGCATGTATGCCTGTGCACTGTGTAGGTGCTTCATACCCAATGGGGCAAGAAGAGTCAGATATCCTGGAATTTGAACTATAGACATTTGTGAACATCAGGTGGGTGCTGGGAACTGAACCTCAGTCCTCTGCAGGTACAGCAAGTTCTCTTAGCAATTGAGCCATCAACTCCAGCCTCTGCGTTTTGACACCTTTAGAATCCACGTTTCAGGTGTTTAAAATTAGTATTTTATGTATGGGAGAGATAGCTCAAAGGTTAAGAGCACTGGCTGCTCTTCCAGAGGTCCTGAGTTCAGTTCCCAGGAAACTCCTGTTGGCTCACATGAGATTTGGTGCCCTCTTGTGGTACGCTATTCATGTGATGTTTATTAGTTTAGAACTTAAAAACGAAAGTATTAGTCTCTTTATCCAACTCAAAAATTTTTCTTTATTTCTAGGGTTATTCGTTGTTACTTAGAAAAATATTTCTAAGTGTACTTATTAATGAGTATTCATAGATGAGCATATCTATATAAGCAACACCAGAAGTTGTCACCGGTGTCCCAGGAGCTCCCTTTCCTGCCCTCTTCCCAAGGATAATTACTATCCTAGTTTTCTAGTAGCATAGATTGCTTTTGTTTAAGACATATGTGTATTGTTGTTTTGTTTTTAGAATAGGGTTTCATTATGTAGCAAAGGCTGACTTCAATCTCATAGTCCCCCACCTCAGCTTCCTGAATGCTGTAATTATAGGTGTCCACCATTATACCAACTTGTGCCGCTCTTGTATCACCGCGCTATTTAATTCACAAAAGCATTTCATCAGTTCTTCCCATAACAAAATGTGGTGTAAGTGTTTGGTATCATTATGAACACGGTGTTTTGAATAATGTCCCAACAACATTTTCTTTTTGGTATTTTAGTGAACATCAGAACATTTCAAAGGAAGTTGAATATATCTACAAGGCAGCTGCTTCAGCAGGCATCATTGGCTGGGCATATGGAGGAATACCTGCTTTTATTCATGCTAAAAACCGCTATATTGAGCAGAGTCAAGGGGCAATCTATCATAACCGCTTCGATGCTGTGGTAAGTACTGATGGGCTAATGGGGATACACCAATTTAACTATTCTCTTTACACTTCATTTTTGTTAGATATTGAATTGGGAGAATTTTGGAATGTCAGGGTGAAGAAATTAAATCTACAGCAATGGAAGCACTAAGATCTTTTTTTTCTTGCTTAGCATCTAATAGTAGATTACATACTGAATTTGCCTCATGCCTCTTTAGAATCCATTAGTCTGAAACAGTTTCTCTGTCAGTCTTGCCCTTGGGCAGTTTTAAACATTGTAGATCATTTGTAGAGTGCCCCACAATTTTGCTTGATAGTTTCTGTCTTAGGGTTTCTATTGCTTTGAAGAGACACCATGGCCACAACTCTTTTTTTTTTTTTTTTTTTTTTTTTTTTTTTGGTTTTTCGAGACAGGGTTTCTCTGTGGCTTTGGAGGCTGTCCTGGAACTCGCTCTGCAGACCAGGCTGGCCTCGAACTCATAGAGATCCGCCTGCCTCTGCCTCCCGAGTGCTGGGATTAAAGGCGTGTGCCACCAACGCCCGGCTGGCCACAACTCTTATAAAGGAAAACATTTAGTTGGGGGTGGCTTACAGTTTCAGAGGTGTACTCAATTATCATCACAGTGGGACATGGTAGCATGCAGGCAGACATGGTGTTGGAGAAGGAGCTGAGAGTTTTACATCTCTTTTGTTTGTTTGTTTGTTTGTTTCCATACAAGGTTCCTCTGTAATGTTTCAGAGCCTATCCTGGAACTCACTCCTATTGATATGTAGGCAATAGGAAGTGGTCTGAGACATTGGGTATGGCTTGAGCATATATGAGACCTCAAAGCCCAAAGCCCACCTCCACAGTGACACACTTCCTCCAACAAGACCACACTCATTCCAACAAGGCCACACCTCCTAATAGTGCCACTTCCTTTGGGGTGCATTTTCTTCTAAACCACCAAGTTTCTCATAATAAAATTGAGATTTGTGAAAGGTGAAAGAGTTATACAATCTGAAGAGAATCTGAGCTTGAGGTCCAGCCTGGTTGACTGAGTGAGTTCCGGGAAGCCAGAACTACACAGAGAAATCCTGTCTTGAAAACAAAAAAATCAGACTTGTGGACCTTGATGGGACGGTGACTAAAGATGCTTGCTGCCAAGCTGGACACCCTGAGTTTGATTCCCAGGATGGGGGCAAGGAGAGAGCAGACTCTTAATAAGTTGTCTTCTGACCCCTGTGCATGCCCTGGCACACTTGCATGCATACAGAGAGGGACAGATGGACGGAGGGAAAAAGATTTAGACTTGTTTCTTGGCAGAAGTACCCTAGAATTGATATTTCAGTACCTTGTTTCAGAAGCATATGCTGTCTATTTGTTCTCTGACTCTTGGTGTGAACTTATTTACATGGGTAAGATGAGATCTGCCAGGTTCTTATAGCATAAATAAGTATTTTATAGATTCTTGTTAGAGACCTTCAGATTTTATAAATATCTCGTTTTATTTTCATCTACCCTGTGCTTTTAGAATTCAATTTATTCTTTTTTGTTTTGGTTTTGTATTTTTGTGGCAGGGTTTCTCTTTGTAGCTTTGGAGCCTATCCTGGAACTCGCTCTGTAGACCAGGCTGACCTCGAACTCATAGAGATCTGCCTGCCCCTGCCTCCCAAGAACTGGGATTAAAGGTGTGCGCCACCACCACCTGGTGAATTCAGTTTATTCTTCCTTGAAATGGTTCTTACTGTCATGATTGTTGAATGGCCTTTTTCTAATTCTAGCATTTTTTTATAATCATTCGTTAGTGTGCTAAGTAGTAGTACTAGTAGTCACCCCTATTATATTTATTTACTCATTCACTTAATTAATAAATAATAATAAAAGTAGTAATGAGTTGTTCTGAGAAATGTGCTAGTTAATTTTGTCATTATGTGAGTTTCAGAATATACTGCACAAACTAGGTCATCTTCTAGGAACACGTAGTGTATGTGGTCTGCTCATGAAGTGTATGATTTTTATTTTATTTATTTATTTATTTATTTATATTCTAGACAGGGTTTCTCTGTGGCTTTGGAGGCTATCCTGGAACTAGCTCTTGTAGACCAGGCTGGTCTTGAACTCACAGAGATTCATCTGCCTCTGCCTCTTGCGTGCTGGGATTAAAGGTGTGAGCCGCCACTGCCCTGTGAAGCACATGATTCTTGTTTGTAATTTGTTTCTATCTATGTGCACTCAGAATGTCTTATTTATTCAATAGAGTTATATCCCATTACTGTCATTTGCTCTAATACTCCAGTTGACTTGTATTTAGGACAATTGGAACCCTTTTAAATCCACTGCCTGTGAGTTTTTCTGTTTTTGTTTTTTAAGAAGTGTCTTGCTTGGTAGTCCAGACTGGCTTTCAGCTCTTATTCCTGCTCTTCTATTCCTCCTCTTGCAAGTGGCCAACTCAGAGTTGTTTTGGTTTTGTTTTAGACAAGGTTTCCCAATGTAGCCCTGGCTGTTCTGGAACTTGCTATACAGGCTAGGCTGGACTTGAACTCACAGAGATCCTCCTACCTTTGCCTCCCCAGTGCTGAGATTAAAGTTGTGTTCTATCATGTCTGGTGGAACTAAGATTTCTTTTAGGGAAGATTGGTATTTAGAAAACAACACCTGGATCCTCGGTGTACTCTACTCTTCCGAGGTATTATTGCTTTTAGACTGGACAGACAGAGTTTGGAAGTGTGTGTGTGTGTGTGTGTGTGTGTGTGTGTGTGTGTGTGTGTGTGTGTGTGTGTGTGTACATACCATGGGCATGCCTGCTGTCTGCAGAAGTCAGAAGAGGGTGTTGGGTCTCATGGAACTGGAACTGTGGTTTGTTTCAAGCCACCATGTGGATGCTAGGAACTGAGCCCTGGTTGCTCTTAATTGCTGAGCCATCTCTCCAGCCCAGCAGTGAACTTTATTGATGGTACTTGAAAGTAGGACTCCCTAAGTCCCCCACTTCTTCTGACAGTCTGTGATGGAAACTGAGGGCAGATACTCAGTGCAGTGGGGGCTGAGTTCAGGCCTAGAAGCTGAGGGTCTTTCTCTTCCTCTTATGTTCTTGCTGAGATGGTACTCCAGGGCTTCTTACTCCTTGAAGGTCAGGTGGGCCAGATCCACCACTCTTTTGCCTACCTGAATTGGTTGTCATGTCAGAAAATTAGCTTGACAGAGTGGTTATTGAGGGCAGTGACCTCAGCATCAAAAGTGGAAGAGTAGTTATCACTGTTAATGGTGCAGGAGGTAACCTGCCATTTGATACCACTCTGTGAGCCCTTTAGGGTGACTTCTGATTTCTCTTCTACTACCTTCTTTTATGTTTGTTTGTATTTTTCAAGACAGGGTATCTCTGTGTAGCCTTGGCTGTCCTGGAATTCACTCTGTAGACCAGGCTGGCCTTGAACTCACAGAGATCCGCCTGCCTCTGCCTCCCAAGTGCTGGGATTAGAGGTGTGTGCCACCACCTCTCGGCTTCTTGCTCATAATCAGGGTTGTAGCTAGCACTGCATGAGAAGATATGGCTCTCTCTCAAATGGGGAGGAGCCAACAGCTTCTTAGCCCTTTTCTCTGACTCCCGAGTCTTTGCTCATGTTAGTACTTAATGATAGTTCTAGAATTTTTTTCTGTGTTTCTGTTTAAGTATACCTGAGTAATTTGCAGTTGACATTTCTGCAGTACAGTTGTAGAATAAGGAAAATGTCCAAGTATCTCGGAGCCTCACAGCATTTTAACAAATTATTTTTAGCAAAGTGCACACCGAGCTGGCACGAGGGGCTTCATTCGGTATGGCTGGCGTTGGAGTTGGAGAACTGCAGTTTTTGTGACCATATTCAAGTAAGTGCTCGGTTGTACAAGAGTTGACTGTATCTTTTGGGTCTGGGAGGCAGTGTCTTACTATATCTCAGGCTGACCTAGAATGCAGTGGAGTCTAGGCTGTCTTCAGACTTGTGATTCTCCTGGAATCATGTGCTGTCTTGCCAGTATTCTTGTAGGAGTACATTGTTTGAGCGAAAGGTATTATTATGAAAGTGGACACTCACATGGAAATATTCATAATGCCTTTTCCATTTGTGTGTGTGTCAGTGTCTATGTGCCAACACCTATGCCATAGAGTGCATGAGGCGGTCCAAGAACAACTTGGAGGAGTCGCTTCTCCTTTCACCATGTCAGCCCTGGAGGCTGAGCATAGGTCAGGCTTGGCAGCAGGTGTCTTTATCCACAGAGCCGTACCGCTGACCCTGAAATGCCCTTTTCTTAATAACCTGTAGGGACATGAGAAACTGGTTCAATGTTAGTTCTGATTCCATGATGGAGCTCTACAGCTCAAAACGGATTTAGAGGTTCCTTTTTCTTTTATTTTTTTGACATGGGTGTCTTGTTATGTAGCCCAGGCTGGCCTTAAACTCAAAATCTTACTCTCCCAAGTCCTAGGATTACAGTGTGCCACCATGCCTGGAACAGAATGAACCTTTCGAAGAAAGGAAAATGCTGTAGAGCCCTTCTTTCTAAGTTGACTCTTCTAAATGAATATTTGTTCTGGGAACTAGATTTTATTGTTTCATTCTTCAACAGATTTACCTAGAGACCCATAGGCATGTTAGTGTAGAACACACTGAAGGGGCCTAGACTAGAACAAGGATTTAAAATACAGGAATTTTGTTTTTGTTTTTGTTGTTGTTGTTGTTGTTGTTGTTGTTGTTTTTAAAGACAGGGTCTCATGTAGCTCAGTCTGGCTTTGAACCTCTTGTGTAGCTGAGGATGAGTTTGGATTTCTGATCCCCCTGCCTCCAGATCTCAAATGCTGGGATTATAAACATGAGCTACCATGCTTAGTCTGATGTGGTGCGGGGATTGAAGGTAGACTTTGTGCATGATAGACAAGCTACCTCTTTAGTCCTAATAGGATGTTTTAAAACTATCGCCGGGCGTTGGTGGCGCACGCCTTTAATCCCAGCACTTGGGAGGCAGAGGCAGGCGGATCTCTGTGAGTTCGAGGCCAGCCTGGTCTACAAGAGCAAGTTCCAGGACAGCCTCCAAAGCCACAGAGAAACCCTGTCTCGAAAAAAACCAAAAAAACAAAACAAAACAAAACAAAAAAACCTATTATTTCAGTGAAAGTAACAGTCAGGAAGGTGAATGGGTGTACCTTGAATGAAATCTTTTCTTTGTCCTCTCTTCACAGCACAGTGAACACTGGACTAACTGTGTATCAAAATAAAAATGCCTTAAGCCATTTTGTCATTGCTGGAGGTAAGGAGTTTTATTCTTGTCACATTTTAATTTCAAGTATGGTTTAGAATATATAGGATTTATGAATAAGAACTGTGAAATTTTTTGATTGTCTTCACACTATATCCTTTTCAACCTTCATATAAAATACGCTTACAGATAGCCTCATAGTTGACCCTTGGTAGTTACTAAAAGCAGACAAGATCTTTGCTTTCATTAAATTTTACCCGTGGCAATGGGCCAAAAAACACAAACAAACCCAGCTTCTATGACAGAAAGTAGCAAATAGGTGGGACCGGATGTGACATGGACAGGGTCGTTGAAGCTGACACCTGCAGATTGGGAAGGAGCAAAATGTAGGTGAGTGGGCTAAAGAGACGTCAAGAGGAAATGGAAGAGATGTTCTGCAGAAGCAGCTGGTGTTTCAAGCGCAAGGAAGGAGATAGCTCGGGGTGAGACTGGGATGGGAAGGATGAAGGGTCAGATTTTCTCATGGTAAGAGTTTGGTTTTGTCTAACGCTTTCTTCCTCTCTGGTGACACACCATTTAAACATTAAAAATAGAGCATAGAGGCGTGTGTGGTGACAGATGCCTGTCATCCCTGCAGTTGGAATTCTCTGGAAAAGCACACAGGAGACTCCACATCAAGGAAGTTGTTTAAAACAGTCAGGGACTCCTGATACAGCCAGCCTAAGGTTCTGATTTGTTTGGGGTAAACCACTGACTACTAAACCAGGCTGTATTTTAATGGTGCTGTTGAGGATACAATAAAACCAGAGGTAGCTGCTTGAGAGGCCAAGACAGGAGAATCATTTGAGCCCACAGGTTCAAGGCCAACCCAGGTAGCATGTGAAGATACTGTATCTTAAAAAAAAGTAACAACAAAAACAAAGGGCAATAACAGGGATCTCTGTGCACTAAGGAGAGACTAGTGTGAGCCTTAGCAAGCTAATTTTATTTGTTTGTATGTGAGTTCTTGTGGACACAGAAAGTAAAAACTAGAAAAGATAATGTAAACTGAAGTTTAAATGCATTTTCCAGCCCACAGACAGATTTGTTGTCCAAGGGTAGAACCTTTAATTACAACTTACTAAGAATTGTTAACTGACTCTTTCCAAGAAGCCAGACATAAAAATAAGAACTTAGAACACACATCAGTGGCTGTGCTCTTCAGGAAAATAGAGATTTGATCTAGATAAATCACAACCTAAAAGTAGAACCTCAGCCATGTGAGGGACGTGGTAGGAAGATCAGAAATTCAGGCTCATTCTTGTCTATGTAGAGAGTTTGAGGCTAGCCTGGGCCATGAGTCTTTGTCTCAAAAAGAAAAAAGTTTTTTTTGTGTGTGGCAGTTTTAAGTAATTAGTTTTCAAAATCAGTACTTTTTAATGGAAACAACTTGACCAAAAATCTGTCACAGAATTTTGAGGCCCATTAAAATACAAGTTTAATGAGAAGTCTGAAAAAAGAAAAAGAAAAAAGTTCATTTTCAACAGTAATAGCAACAAGACATGGAAAAATGTGAGGTGGGGTGGAAATTTCCGATAGATAGAAGGAAACTATATGTTGAAAAGAGCCGACAAACTCAAATAATGTCAAATCAAAATGTAATGCTAAAGATAGAAAATTTTAATCAAATGAAAATAGCTGGTGTTGGTAGTACAGTAATGGAAATTAAAAATTCACTGGATGATGGCAAGGGATAGGACTTGGTGGGTAAAACCACTTTCCATATAAATGTAAGGAACTGAGTTCAAATCCTCAAACCAATGTTAAGATACATCTGTAATACCAGCACTCCTATTAGGAGATGGGATACAGAGACAAGAAAATCCTTAGCTTCCCAGCCAGCCTTCCATAAGCAGTGTGGAAAGACAACAGAGAGACCCTTAAGTAAGTGAAGAGTGAGGACCCATACCTCAAGTTGTCCTTTGAACTTTACATGCATGCTATGGTACATATGCACACACATGCATGCGTGTACACACATATACAAACACACAAATGTGCATTTGTAATCATACAAAAATATTTTTAGATTTTTACTGGAGAAGAACTGAACCATAGACTTAAGATAGCAGAGGAAAGAACCAGTCAGGCATGGTGGCTTACACTTCTAATCTCAGCAACTGGAAGGCAAAGACAGGAGGACTACCTCAAGTATGGGCTATAGAGTAAGACTATGTATGAAAAAAGTTTTGCGAGCTTCAACATTTATGACTCTAGAAAGCTCTAAATTTATTTTGCTTTCTGACTCTGTGCTGTGTCGCCAGCACTTTCACAAGTTTCTGCTCTTCACCGGACAGTGATGGCACATCTTTAACCCCAGCATTTGGGAGGAAGAGGCAGGAGGATCTCTGTGAGTTCCAGGACAGCCACGGCTACCCAGAGAAATCCTGTCTTGAAAAGCCAAAAAGAAAAGACAAGTTTCTGCTCCTCAATAAGGAGATCCTGCTTGAGGACACACCTAGCACATGTGGGGCCACCGCAGGCCCTGCTAATGTGCTTCTCTGTTTTACAGTTGTTCAGCCCATGAGGCTGGGGTCTCAGCTGGTCTGCGTGTACACCAGACTCTTGAAGTAGGCTCTCATGCCAGTTAGGGAATGGCTTGCTAGCCAGGCAAGGGCAAGAAGGCAAAGAGCAAGTTTCCTTCCTCCTGTTCTTATACAGGCTTCCAGCAGGGTGTGTGTGTGTGTGGGGGGGGGGGTAGCCCAGATTAAAGGTGTGCATTCCTGCCTCAAAGATCCACATTAGAATGGATCTTTGTATTTCAAGTTAAGCAAAAACTCCCCCACAGTTGTGCCCCTCAAGTTTGGGGTTTTAGTTAATTCCAGATATAGTCAAACTGGCAACCAAGAATAACCACCACACTTGGAGACTGGAGAGATGACTCAGCAGGTAACAGCAGATGTACTGCCCATACCTCTCCCAAACTCATATTCTGAAATAAAAATTATTTTTAAAATAAGAATGTTCATACCCCTTGTCCCAGAATTTCATTTCTGTGAGTTCATTTTAAAGAAGCCATCAAATGTGTGAAGATTTATGTGTAAGAGTGCTTTTACTTAAAACATTTACAAATAGAAAATTGGTGTTAAGATAAAAATTTGTGGTATGTCCATGCAATTAGAATCATGTGGGGAACTTCAATATCGAAAACTGAAAATTTAATGATAATGGAATTTAATAATATATTCACAGAAATTTAAAAGTTTAGTATATATAACATGGCCCCATTTTGTTTCTCAAAAATATTTTATTTGGAAGTATACTCTGAATGATATCTAGGTGAATATATAGTAGTTAAATAGAAATATAATCCTCATATTAAACACTTAAACTATTTGCCACCTAGGATGGCATTAGTGAAGGGGGCAAACAGCTGGCATGTATGTAACACAGTTGGTGGAATGCTTGCTTAGCATGCACGGAGCTCTGCACTTCCTCCTGAGCTCCACAGTCTCTAGGTGGTAGTACATGGCTGTAATCTCAGCACTCACAAAGAGGCCAGAGGTCCAAGGTCATCCTCAGCTTCCTACTGAGTTTGAAGACATCTGGGTTGCATGAGACCCTGCTTTTAGAAAGGAAACTTTAAACCAGTGTCCTAGAAATGGAATTCTAGTGAAAAGGAGTGCACTCCTTGTGTCGGTCACCAGGTGGCATTGTATGCTAAATGCTGCCTCTGCAGGTCGGCCTGATTGCACTGAATAGCAGGCAGTGCAGATGGGGCAAGGCTGGGAGAAGGCATAATGTTCAGGGGCTAGTGAAGGGGTTTGTTGTTGCTGCTGTCCCTTAAGTTTGGACAAATTTGCCTCAAAGAAGGAAGAGGTGGGAGAAGGTGAAATGAATGTTGATTTTTTAAAGAGGAAATGGGTATAAGAAATGAAGTAGAATGGTGTTAGAGCCATAGGAGAGACTGCGGGTTTGTTTTGTTTTGTTATTTGGTTTCTCTGTGTAGCCCTGGCTGTCCTGGAACTCCTTCTGTAGACCTTGAACTCAAAGATCTGCCTGCCTCTGTCTCCCAAGTGCTGAGTTTAAAGGCATGAACTGCATGCCTTCCCCCCACCCCCAACTTGAGACTGAGTATATTTAAAATGTCTAATGTATTTACAAAATATTTTCTTCCTTTGACTGTGGAGTGGACAGAAAGTTACCTTCATGGCTGACACTATACTGTTCATGATGGGTTCAGAAAGCTCATGTAGAGGTCTTTGTTCCTACTGTAAATGCTGGAAGTCTAGCATTTAAAGATGATTTAATATTGCCTTTTTCCTCCCTTTTAAATAGCTGTCACAGGAGGTCTTTTCAGAGTAAACTTAGGTATTCGAGGCCTGGTGGCTGGTGGTATAATTGGAGCCTTGTTGGGGTAAGTGTTAACCTGGTTTAGTCTAAATGGGTTGTTTACTAAAGATGTTCATTATAAAGAACAGATTTAGTCTGCAGAGTCTTTAAAGATTTATGTCCTATATTGACAGTGGCTGCAACTGTTCAGTTCCTTATTTAGGGGGATATGAGAGGATTGAACCCAGATACTAGTAAATGCTCTGCTTTTTAAAATTGTGAATATGTATTTTTATTATTTATGTGTACACGTGTATGTCTATGTATGTGTCCAAGGAGTGCTGGATCCTTTGAAGTTGGAATTCCAGGCAGTTGTGAGCTGCCTGATATGGGTGCTAGGAAAAAAACCCAGGGCCTCTACTCTACAAGAACAATAAATATTCTTATCACTGAGCCATATCCTCAGCTCTGGCTGTCCACTTGTTTTATTTATAGTTATTACTATATAATTAAAACAGTAAAGAACACTCAGTAGAGTTAAATAGAATATATAGTCAAGAATCCTTTTCCCTGGGTAAAATATGTGTAAACATTACCAATACCTGAAATTACTTGTAGTTTGAACAATTCATAGGGAGCAAGAAAAATGATCAGAAAATTGTTCACATAGAACGTGTGCTTTGTAATATTTTAAAATTGTATTTTTTATTTAACTGGATACATATTTTATTTAAAGGTTTTCTTCCCTAGCTAAAATGCTGAAAATTTGAACAATTTCAAACCTACAGAAAAGTTGGATGATTGAGTATATTAAGACCCTATGAAGCTAATCCCAGCATTCGGGAGACAGAGTCAGGTGGATCTCTGTGAGTTCAAGGCCATCCTGGTCTACAAAGTGAGTTCCAGGACATCTGGTGTTATTATACAGAGAAACTCTGTCTTGAAAAACCTTAAAAAAGAAAAAGAAAAACAGGGGCTGGAGAGATGGCTCAGAGATTAAGAGCACTGGCTGCTCTTCCAGAGGACACAGGTTCAATTCCTAGCACCCACATGGCAGCTCACAGCTGTCTGTAATTCTGGTTTCAGGGGATCTGATACCTTATACCAATGCAAATAAAATAAAAAGGTAAATTATAGAAAGAAAGAAAAGAAAAGAAAACCAAAGGGGGAAAAAGACTTTTGTAAAGACCCATATCAGGGATGGGCATGTAATTCAGTGTCAGAGCATTTACCCAGCATGTACAAGGCTAAGCCAATCCCTAGCACTACTCAAAAATTAAACAACAACAAAACTCAAAGCCCTCGGGTGATTTTTACTGGGATTCACCAATTGCTGACATTTGCCTACTTATTATTTATATACCTATATATGTATGAGATACATTCTTCCTTTCCTTTTTTTGATTAAACCATTTGAGACCTCATAAAATCTCACCCCTAAATGTGTCAGCATGCATCTCCTATGGTGAACTCATGGTAGAGATTTTGCAGTAAACATGTTCTAGCTCATATGTGAAAGAAAGTCTGTATTCAAAGCCCTTCCGCCCCCACAGTGGTACCCAGAATGGTTTTCAGTTTGCTTTGATTAGTCTTGCTTTAGATTTGGGTTAAGTGTTTTTGTCAGGGATGCTGTGTAAGTGCAGCTGTGCCCTTGTACATATCACATCAAGAGACATAGTACGTACCCTTTATAATAATGTTAACTTTAGATAGTTGACATATTGGTTTTCGTCTGTGTTGGCAAGGATAGAGGTGAAAGGAACCACAAAACCCTGTTGGTGGGAGTGTAAGGTAGTACAGATAATATCACAGTCAGTGCGGAGTTGCCTCAAAAAAGTAAAAGTGGTATTTGCATTGGTGGCACACACCTATAGTCCTGGAACTTAGGATATAAAGACAGGAGTTCAAGGTCATCTTTGGCTACATTGCCAGCTTGGGCTACATGAGAACTTGTCTCTAAAAATAACAGTACACCAAAACCAAAATAGGCAGTAAAACTAAAACTATTGCATGATTCAGCTATACTCTCCCTGGTATGTCCCTGAACGAATCTGAGTCAAACTGTATAGATCTGTTTTCCCCACTGTAAGCCAGACACTCCCTTTCTGTTCCTGGGAGCCACCCATATCTTTCTCATGGGCAATCCATGTTCAGAATAGCAATACCTCTCCTCATAACTTCCAATCTGCTTTTCTCCAGCCAGAGGAAGCAGCTTTTAAAGGGCTCCCCCAGATAATCTCCTTTCTGATGAATTCAAATCTGTGAAATCCATGTTTCTATGCAACACAGTAAAGTCAGGTGTGCTGTCTCCTCATGAGCCTGGTGGAGTATTTACCACTCTAGAGCTGTGGGACCCAGGAGAATGGATCCTAAAAATGAGGCAGACTACAGTCTCATGCCATAGCCAACTTTACTCAGAGAATCAGACAATTTACACTGAGGGTTAAGAGGAATCCCATGAATAACATGTTCAATCACAAGGACAAGCTACCCTGAGCAAAAACATTTTTTCCATAGAGGCATTGAATGAGTAATCTAAAGTAAACTCACTCTATCAGATACACCAGAGAGGAGCATGAAGACACAGTTCAAGAATAATTTTATGTTTTGAAAAAAACAAGTTCACAGATACTTTTTTTTCTCACAAGCACTCAAGGTTCTCCTTACATGAATGACTCCAGCACATTTTAGGAAACTTTAGGATTCTCCTTGTCACACCATTCCAGGGCTCTCTGACTATCTCTGCCTCCCTAGTGCTGGGATTCAAGGCATGCGTCACCAACGCCCTGCAGTTTCCCTTTTTAATGGTGCATAATTAATTCATATTCTCTCTCTCTCTCTCTCTCTCTCTCTCTCTCTCTCTCTCTCTCTCTCTCTCTCTCTCTCTCTCTCTCTCTCTCTCTCTCTCTCTCCCTCTCTCTCTGTGACATTTTCTTTTTCCATTCTGCTGATGTAGTTTTAGTTTTCTTTGGCTTAGCAAAAAAAAAATAATAAAATCTTTAAATGAAAGAATTTGACATATATAAAAGTCAAAACTTTTTCCTTGAGGACGCAGGAAAGAAAATTCTGTTTGTCAGAAATCAGGGTCCAGTGTCTTCCTCAGTCACATACCACCTAACTTTTTTTTTTTTTTTTTTTTTTTTTTTGGTACTGAGGTTAAACCTAGAGCCTTGCACAAGATAGGAAAGGGCTTTATCACTAAGCTGCGTCCTTAGCCCCATCCACTTTCTTTATAAGATGGGATTACTCACTGAACTTGGAGCTCATGGATTGGCTAGACAGGGTAGTGAGCAAGCTACCACACCCGACTTTTACTTGGGCTCTCGGGATGCAAATTCAAGTCTTTATGCATGCATGGCAAGCACTTTACCAGCCCCTAAAGAAATTTCTTTTTATTTTTCTTAAAAGATTCATTTATTTTTATTTTATGTGTACATATGGGTACCTGCATGTATATATGTGCATTGCATTCATGCCTAGTGCCCTTGGAGGCCCGAACAGGGCATGGGGTCCCTTAGAGTCAGAGTTACAGGCGGTGTGAACCGAACCTGTGTCCTCTGCAAGAGCAGCAAGTGCTTTTACTGCAACACCATCATCTCTCTAGCACCTCAGTCCATTCTTCGTGTATAACTGGTGACGTGGCAGCTGCCACTCATAGCAGATGTAGGATATAAGATGTTTTGACGGCACTGTCTCTTAAAGCCAGTAGCATCTTCCTCCCAGTGAACCATCCCCATTACATGTCTTGTCCTCCAGGGTCTGGTACTGTCCTGAATGAACTACTCATTTCTTTTTGAGAAGCCTCCAATTTGGAGCAGTTTACTTGAACTGGTCACAAATAGGTATTTCCTCCTTTATCTTGGTTTATTTCTTATCCATGATTAAAAAAAACCCATTTCTGTATCTGTTACTGCTTTATACCAGCCATTTTTTTCTTTGTTGTTCAACCCAGGAGGAAAATGACCTCAGTATTTTTTTTCCATTTGAAAGAAATGTTTAAATTACCAGATGTTTCCGTATCTGACTATGGGCAAGCACTCTGCTATTGATGAGTAAGAACAATCTTGTGTCATGCGGGCTGATGACTTTCTCCTTGAACTTGCTGTCTCCCTCAGCACGCCTGTGGGAACCCTGATGATGGCACTGCAGAAGTACTGTGATGAGACAGTTCAGGAGAGAAGACAGAAGGACCAGAAGGCACTCCGTGAGCAGAAGCTGGAAGAGTGGTAAGGAGCCTGTGAAGACTGCTGGTCTGACTTCCTAGCACAGCCCATGTTATGACAGGGGTTCTCCCCGCTGTCACTCAGATCAAAGAAGAGTTTGGTTTACTGAGTTTTTCCATTCTGTGTTGTCTTTTAAATCTCTTTCATTAAGGGGTTAAAAAATGAAAGACACTAATTTTATTTTTAATCTGATCAGGGTCTTTCCTTAGATCTATCTATCCTTCTTTCTTTCCTTTCTCTCTCTTGTGACTTAGTGGGTTTAATTAGGGTTACTACAAGAACATTGGTAAATAGTTGTTTATAGGAACATGGCCAACTTACAAGCAACATTAACTGCCTATAAATAAATACTCAGAGGTGGGCCAGGCCTCCTGAGCCCCTCCCTGGCCCATTAAGGAATGCTGACAGTCTAACCTTGTGCAAGTCTTATTGGGTAATTACAGCTGCTCTAGGTCACAAGGCTGTGGCCAACTCTTGCCTAGAAGACAGTGTCCACATTCTAGGTCCTCCAGCTCTTACAACCTCTGCCCTCCTCTGTTATATTCCCCTGAGCCTTGCAGGGGAGATGTAGATAGGTACTTCTGTTTTTAAAATGTCTAGGAACTGAGGCAGGGTGATCACAGTGAGTCCCAGGTCAGCTTGGTTTATGTAGTAAGACTTGGTTTCAGATAAAAGTGAAAATGTTCTTGCTAAGTGTCCATATTTGAAATTCTGCTTCTTAATATAGACAAGAACTAGAAGGGTTAAAATAACTGTGTGGATGGGAGGCCACTGTGGGACATGAGCGTTTGCTTTTCCATCTCATCGTTTCATACACTACAGCTTTTCTTTTTCAGTGCTAGAGACTTACTAGGACCTTCTCAATGCTAGACTCTACCACTGAACTGAATCTCCAGGCACCTTTTAATTTTCATTTTGAGACAGTATCTTCCTAAGTTGCTCAGGCTGGCCTCTGAACTTGTGATCCTCCTTTGTCAGCCTCATAGTAGCTGGGATTCCAGGACTGAATCAACAGGCCTGGTTCTGTAATCTTCAGTTTGTAGGGTAAGGTGGTGAGACTGATGACTGACTTTCTGTAGACTCTGTAGGCTTGACCTGGTACTGCTGTCTAGAACTCTTGAAGTGTGAGCGCTTATCATAGTGTAGCTCCTGTGTGTCTGAGATGAAATCTACTGTCGTTCCTGCTGCTTTTCCTCCTCCTCCTCTTCTTCTTTCTCCTCCTCTTCTTCTTCCTCCTCCTTCTTCTTCTCTTCTTTTTTTTTTTTTTTGTTTTTGTTTATTTGAGACAGGGTTTCTCTGTGTAGCCTTGGCTGTCCTGGAACTCACTCTATAGACCAGGTTGGCTGTGAACTCAGACATTACCTGTCTCTTCTGCTGCAGTTTTTTCCCCAGGGATTGTATTTGAATTTTTTTGTGTGTGTCTGACACACACACACACACACACACACACACACACACACACACACACACACGATAGCTCTACATAGATCTCTTCCCAAATGTTATAGGAGAGCAAAGCATTGGTTTGGAGCCAGTAAATCCTTGAAAACTGAGCTTAAATCTCACCTTGACATGAATTAGACTAGGTTTCATTGTTTATTTTGTTCTGTTTCATTATTTATATTGTACAGCCCAACCTAGCCTCAAATTCTAACAGTCCTCCTGCCTCAGTGTCTGAGTACTGGGATTGTGGGAATGTGCTACCACTAGGGTATGAGTCAGCTGCAACCTTGCTTTCCCTAACTTTAAGTCCTCAATTTCTCCAGCTGCTTTAGGGACAGAATTTACTCTAATGCTCTTCATTCCTATTGTTCCTTCCTCTTCATGGTAAGAGGGCATGCGGGGCTTATGGTTATCCAGGTTCTAGGATGATGCACTTAAAATTCCAAGTGGCAATGTAAAATGTAATACTGTGAATTATTAAAACCACGGAAACATCCATTTGTTTTTAGTGCCCTGGATGTCATGAGAGCCTTCTTTTTAAAAACAAAGCTTTAGGAAAACGGTTAGAAAGGAAACTATTGGCTATTTGGTTATGATATAGAACATTATGAAAGAGTTAACTTTTGGGGGATACATGAACAAATAATGATTAAATCCCAATTTTAAAAGGGAGGAGAAGAAAACGAGAGGTTTGTCAGTGACTTGAAGATGGAGAACCTGAGAATAGGCAAAAGTAACAATGTGAAATATAGTAATGAAGGAATTCTTCAGCCAAGAGAAATAATGTTTAAAATGTAGGGACTGGAGAACCAGTACTGGCTGCTCTTCCAGAGGACCTAGGTTTGGTTCCTAGTACCCACATAACACCTTACAATTGTCTGTATTTCCATTTTGGGGAATCTGATACCCTCTTGTGTCCTCTGCAGGCACCAAATACTCATGGTACATAGAAATACATGCAGGCAAAACACCCATACACATAAAATACAATTTAAATGTATAACTTACACCTATCATGAATCTGTGTATGGTATTTCTAAGAAGAGTTCATTCAAATGTTTATGTCACTTTTATGTGTCAGCCTCTGCTTGAAAATAAAATAAACAAATAAGAGTTTTTAAAATTGTCCTAGCAGAAAATAGAGAAGACTGGCCGTAGAGTTTTGATAGAAAAATGGTCAAATTTGATTGAGTTGACGCTTAAAATGTAGGTGGCCTTGATAATCAATGAAAGACACCAAGATTCTTTTTAGGAAAAGGACTGATCTCTTAGTAATTAGAGCCTACTCCTCATAAATATGTATCTGCAGAAATGCCTATATGATTCACGTAGATTACCTACCGATGCACAGTCTTCATGAGGTGAGACAAGATCTGGTGAGAGGCTCACAGCCCCTGAGTCTGAAGGGTAGGAGGACAGCCCAGCCTGAAATGGAAACTTCCCCACAGGTTGTATCCGCTCCCACTCATCACTTGGGAGAACCGCAGGACACAGTGTCCCAGATCATGTTAGGTGTCCAGTGTCCATTTTGGTGCTGTGGAAATCATCACTAGACTGAAAGTAGAGCAGGGTAGGAGAGAGAAGAAAGTCTTTGTATTGTGAGTGCAAAGACTGGTATTTGCTCATGAGTTGTCATAGCAAAGCAGAGAGGGTGTGACAGATATTGCCCTTTTGTTTGAAGTCTGTAAGGACAAGTGCTGAAGCAGAACTTGATAGTGTTTATCCCTTGCTTGTAGGAGACGAAAACTGAAACTCACTGAGCTCCTCCCTGAGGAAATTGAAAGTGGCTTGGAGAAGATTCAGCCTGAGGAAAATGCTCAGAGAATCCAGGAGCTGCTAAACCTCCCTAGGAACCCTTCATCACCAGATAAAGCAAACAGAGACTGAGGACGAGGCTCTGTGTGTGTAGGAAGGCCAGTGCCGGTCTACTCCTTGTCAACCTGACAAAGCCGAGTGCTGGCCTCTTACCTTTTCTCTCTTCACATCAAGAATCGGGCAATCAGAGCTGGGTGCCACACACTGTAATCCCAACTGCTTGGGAGGCCGAGAAAAGATGGTATGAGACTGTTTCAAAAATACACACCCACAAAAAACAACAGAACCAAAACAGCCCAAAGAATTGGGTAACATTTTCCTATCTATACTGATCATTGATCCATCTGAATACTTATATTTCTCCATCTTGCTAGATTTTATATAAGTAAAATACTTCTCAAAAGAGTAAAGTTGGGTTGTCTGGATTGCCTATTCAGTCCCCCGTCTTTTAAGAATATTCTCTAGGAGTAACTGAAAAGAGAAGGGACTTTGTCAAGGAAATGGCCTGTGAAATCGTCCTCCTTTGAACCCTTCAAATAGTGTGGGCCTCAATGCATTTAGTTTGTTTTAATAAGAATAAAAGATGGTTCCCATGCCAGTTGAATATGATTTAGCAAAATGGGAGCAGGTGGGTATTGTTAGAGGCGCAGTCCAGCTTTGTTTCCTATCCCACATCGCTGACAGCATCTGTGCTGTGGTGTACAGGAAAGGCTCAGAGAAGATGCGCCATCCTACACCAAGGAGCAAGGAGCTGGCTACCCGAGAGAAGCCGTCTACAGATTTCAGCTCTGGGCAGATGGAGAAGAAACAAAAGACTGAACTACGCGGGCAGCACTTCTCTGGTCTTTGGTTATATTTTCTTCAGCTCTAGTTGCTTACCGTTAACTGTGGTCTGAACGTATTCAATGGAAGAGTCCAGGATTAGCAGTTTCTAAGTTTTAAATTTTGTGCCTTTCTAGGTTGGATGGGGAAATCTCACCCCGTGCCTCCTGAGATGGAACATGTTCCTTTGTTTATCATTCCCCACTCTGTATCTGTCCGTCTGTCACTTAGTCTTGGTTATCAAATTGAGTCTGTGGAATGACAGTGCTTGTGTAAAATAATGGCATTGAATAATGGCTCCAAAGAGCGTGAGTAGTGCCGCTGACAGTTCACATGCACTAAGACAGGCTCACAGTGAGCATTGCTGCCATGTTGAGGACCCTGTACTGTGGATCAGATGGAGGGAAGAAACTGCTAGCATTATAAATGGAGTTGTACTCACTCTTGGTAAGTTGGTTCTACTCTGAAGCAAGGTCTGTAAGAACAGTGTAGTGCTGTAGCTAAAGCTAAGGCCTCCAGGGGCAAACCACTTCCTTTCCATTTCAACCCAGAGCGTAGCAGCTGTGTGACTTACATCAAAACCATTAGATGAACCTGGAGTCTAGCACGTACTAGGCAAGCACTCAGCCAGTGAGTTCAAGCCTCAGCCCCATTATACTTTGAGTTTCAGGCTTTTCATTAAGTGTAGTATTATATACTTGAAAGTAGAGATTTAGTGAAATTATTCGAGTATATTATTAATCATATATTTTGCATTTCATCCTTGGCATACAACTTCCCAAATCCTGGTCTCCTGGGGATGAGGACTGGTCATCTCCATGTTCTCAGCAGAGTAGAGAGCAGATACTTTCAGTCCCAGCTCCCAACCTCTGCTTAGGGAGAGGAGCTGAGACATGTCACCTAGTGCCAGAGATTTAACCGGCAAACATGAAGGTTCTGTGACAACCCTACAGGACAGTGCTGGAGAGCTGCTGGTTCCCAGAGGGGAGCAGTAGGAGGGCGTGGAATCTCTGCACACTTCCCTGTGCTTCACCCAATGCATGTTTTCATTGGAAAGCCTTTTATGGCAAACCAGGTAAGTGTTCCCCTGCGTCCTGAGATTTGCTCATCAAGCAAATTCATCACACAAGGAGGGGCTTGAACTACCTTGTAGCTTCATGGTCAGGGTTAGAGAACTGAGCCCTTTGGGGATCTTTTGGAATGGAACTGTGTTTCCACTCCAAAAGTAATTGCTTCCTGACTGGCTGGAAGAAACCCCCAAAAACTTTGGGGGCTACAAAAGTCTGTTGTGTTGATAAATGTGATGAGAGCGGAGGGTGTGTGTGTGTGTGTGTGTGTGTGTGTGAAGTTTTTTCCAACAAAAACTTTAGCACAATGCTTAGATGATAATAAATGTAGCTGTAAGGATATAAAAGCCTCTTCACTGGTTTACTGGCACAGTGAAGTATGTGTTAGAACCATTCTCATAAATCATGTCTTTCATAATTACCCCCTTATAAATTGATGACAAATTAGCAACTAGTCATTCTAGTCATTCTTTTACAGTCACATAGGCGAAATCTTTAAGCTAAAAAAATCATAAGACTAAAGATCTCTTTTAAAGATAATTTTACTTTTAACCTAAAAATACCTGAGTAATAAAATCAAAGTATAGCTCTAACAAACATTTATTAAATGTAGTAGTTAATAATTTAATCCAATTTACTTCTTAAATTGCCCCATAGATTGTTCCTTTTTTGTCACTTATTCTCTTTTGAGGTCTCATTTGCTCAACCTAATGATCATTGTCTTAACTAAATGCAGCCCCCTCCCCTTTTGTTTGGTTTTGCTTTCAATGTCTTGTCAACTTCTTGCCAGTGCACTGCTTTTGTCTTCTTGGGTGACTAGTTCTGAGAGCAGCCATATAAAAATGGACCCGGTTCTTGGACAGTGCAACAGAATCTGTCCCCATTAGAGCTAAGATTAAACATCCAGCCACACTGAGAGACTTGGCTGTCTTTTGATGTCCAACTCCAGATTTTCGGACAAGAATATCTCATTGTTTTGACCTAAGTCAGATCCACTTGTGGCCTGTTTAGTTGTAGATGTCAATTTTAGAGAAAAGGGAACTTTCAACATAGAAGCAGCAGCTGGTTACTTCTTGTTTTCCCTTCCTTTGGTGGGGCAGGGAAGGGGTTGCCTTGGGGTATTACTATGCAGCCCATGCTGCCTGGAATTCAATCCTCCTGCCTCAGCCTTCTGAGTGCTGACATTACAGGTGTGTGCTACTGTGCCTGACTTACTTATTGCTACTAAGGAGCAAAAGTCACTTCAAGGAATCTAAGAAGTTCTATGGAAGGCTAGTATCACCTCAGTCATTTATGTGAGAACAGATTACTGCTTAGTAAATAGTCTCATTTTAAATGAGAACTTTCTCAAGCATTATATAAAAGGGCAAACTAGCCTAAGGAGATTGCCAGTCCAATATGAACTAATAGATTATGAACTATGCCTCCAACCTGACTTGTGCTTTGAGGTATGAAAGACACATTCATCTTAGACATCTGGAAAATTCATGTTTGATCATTCTGTTTTCTCTTAAACTTGAGAAAAATGAAAGGAAAATACATGAAAAATGCAGAATGAAAATTCTAATATTTTTATTACCCTTGTATGGGTATACATACCAAGATATTTCCTACAAATTACAGTAGGTCCAATAGGCCTTAAAAAAGAAACGGCTGGGCAATGGTGTCATATGCCTTTAATCCCAGCACTTGGGAAGCAGATGAGTGAATCTCTGTGAGTTCAAGGCCAGCCTGGTGTACAAAATGAGTTCTAGAATAGCCAGGGCTGTTACACAGAGAAACCCTGCTCCAAAAACAAACAAACAAAAAACCCAGACAAACAAAAAAGCACCCAGAGCCCCATAGATGCTAGGCAAGTATTACCAGCATTTTAAATTAGTCTTTCTACAAGCTTAGAGCTTAGGGTCTAACTGATGAAGGTTAAGAGCAATAGAGCCAGGAAATCTGGATTCTGACTCGACTTCAAAATTCAGGTCTCCTCCTGGAGCCTCAGTGTCTTCATTAATACAACTAGTGTTCTGCCAAGTGTAGTAGCTCACACCTGTAATTCTGGCACTAGTGCAGGAGGATTGCTGCACGTTTGAAACCCGCCTGGTCCACATAGTGATTTCTAGGTCACTTTGAGCAACAGGGTAAGAGTGTTATCTTAAAACACTCTGTGTGTGTGTGTGTGTGTGTGTGTGTGTGTGTGTGTGTGTGTGTGTGTGTTAATGGGGACAGATGTGTTAGTGTCCCCTAATGTCCCTTCCAGACAAAGAATTCAGTCTCTAAACTAGTTTTTCAAGATCAGCAGGGCTACTGTGGTATGTGTTAAATTCTTCTCTGGTCTTCTGCAAAACACTGCAGAGGCTTCGCCTAGAGAACAGCAAGGCACAGCTGTGTTATCTTAGATTTCTGAAGCTGTTTACAGAAGAAGCTGGTTGCAAATGTAGGTGAGACCTGAGGAAACAAAAGAAATAAATGAATATTTCAACCCTGATTTTTAAAGAGAAAAATACTATGCTTTAAACCTCAAAACCAACGATATACTTAATTTGAGGTAACATAATAGATACTAATCTTGATTACTAAGGAATACAAAAATAGCCTAATTTTTCTTACATGAAATACAGTAAATCTTCACCAGGCAAATGTTTGTTAAATACCATGTACTCCAAATAACCACATATTGTTGCTGCAGTCTGCTTTGTGTGTGGTAAAGATATGTCAGACATGGTTGCTTTTGTCAGTAAGCCTATGACCTAGAAAATGATGTTTTACTGGGCACATGGGTATCGGGGAACCAAGTAGTATGCAGTGTGTACTAAAGTTCATAGATGGAGCTGTGTGAACTCAACAAGACAGCATGAGGCAATGTATACATAGGTGGATTCCTGACTTGGTTGTGAAGTATAGCATATTGGCTGGGAGGTGTAAGTCAGGGAAACTTCATCACAGAATTGAAGGGGAGGAACATTGTGGAAAAGGCATTCTAAGAAAATAAGAGAACTTGAGACACTGCTTTGGGAATGGACAACTAGGCTTCTGTGGAGTAGAGCAGCAGCAGTAGCAGTCATCTAATTGGATGATTGGTTTCTTTTTCATCTGTGTGATGATTACAGTCTAGATGGGATGATCTCTTGTGTGAAAGGCTTGGTTACCAGTGGATGGGCTTATCAGAAGCCACTGAATCCTAAGGAGTTTGACCTAGTCCTAATTGGCCATTGCTGGAGATGGTGGAAAGTAGGAGATGGGGCTAAATTGGAGGAAGCAGGTTACTGGGGACCATGGCCTGGAAGCTTCCTGCTTCCAGCTGCTGTGAAGAGAGCTGCTATCCCACTGCCCCTTCACCATGAGGTGCCTCACACAGACCCACAATAGTGGGACCAAGGAAGAACAAACACAAGGAGCTCAGCAAACCTCTCAACCTGGGAACCTCAGATTTAGCTCCCATAAAAGGAGATAGAAAGATCTTGAGTATATAGACTTTTTCATAAGATGGAGATGAAATAGTGACTCTAAAAATAGTACGTTATTTATCATTTTCTATACTTTTTTGTTTTGTTTTAAAAACAGAGTCTCACTATTCTAACCCTACCAGTCCTGGAACTCACTCTAGACTTGGCTGGCCTCACACCTGTGGTGGTATTCCTTCCTTTGCCTCCTGAATGCTGGCATTACAGGTTAGAGCTGTGTCCCACCACATTCAATTCAGCTCCACATTTCAAAGCACCAATGCTCTCTGACATAAAAGACCTTGGGGTTTTAGGGGAACACAAATGTGATACATGTTAACTTATTTTCACAGAAGTTAATGCTGTACTCACTCCATTAACTGAAAGAGCATTTAGGGCTCCTATTGTCCTATTTTCCGTGTAGTCATAGGATCATATCCAAAATGTTAGTTGTCACTTGCTGATATCTAGTAATTTCATATGAAGTGACTAGAAACCATGTTACAAAAAACAATGAAGAGAAATGAAGACATTTTCACTGTAGAGAGCTAAAGCTTTGAAACTTCCATAGGCCCTAGATCCTGGTCTGAGTTTCTGAATGGGAAAGGATATAGCAGAATAATTTTTGAAATGAAATTTGGCTCAGTGATTTGTCAGTATGAAGGAGAGAACTCAGACAATGTTGGTGTGTTTTTACAAGTAACCCAGAGTTGTATACATCAATAGCAAGAGATACCGGGAAAAATAGACATTCAGAATAGGAAGCTGGCCAAGAATTTCACTTCAGGAACTCAGATCAGTGTTTTATAGTGTAAGATACTGAACCAGCAGACAGCAGGGGAACACATCAAGATGGCAGAAGGACACAGCAAAGGAATACGTCAGAAAAGAAATGCCACGTATGGAACAAGGAAAGGGATCCTGAGCTCCTACAGTCTAAAGTCTTTGAGGCCATACATAAGAGTTCAGATTTGTTGCCTAGCCTAGTTGGGCTTCTGTTCCTGTGATGATAAAACACTGACCAAAAGCAACTTAGGGTGGAAAGTTTATTTCAGCTTACAGCTTACAGTCCATCATTTAAAATCCAGGGCAGAAACTTGAGCACAGACCATGGAGGGGAGCTGCCTAGTACCTTACTCCTCAGGGCATGCTCATCCTGCTTTCTTAGGTCATCCAGGACCACCTGCCCAGGGATGGCGCCAGCAACAGTGGGATAGCCTCTCCTACTTCAATCGCCAATCAAGAAAATGCCCCACAGATTTGTCTGCAACCTGATGGAGCCAACTGTTCAATTCAAATTTTCTTAGATGATTCTAGCTTGTGTGAAGCTAGCAAAAAAAAATTAACCAGCACAATTGATCCCTTGCCAATCTGACACAAAAATATATCTCTATTTAACCATGACTATTCTTGTTTATCCCCAAGGGCTCATGTTAATATGACAGCATAAAACGTTGTATGCTTTTAAAAGTCTCACCACCTTAAAAAAGTTCAAACAATTTAAAAGTCAAGTCTCTAAAATTTCAACATCACTTTGAAAGTCTAAAGTCTTTCAACTGTGGGTTCCCATAAAATTAAAACTAAGATATATTTGAAAGAGAGCAAGGAGGGGTATATGGGAGGGTTTTTAGGGAGGAAATAGAAGAGGGAAATGTTGTAATTATAATTTCAAAAAAAGAACAACCTAAGATACATACTTTATTCTAAGAGGGGCGGCCCAGAGCACAATTATAGTTAGATCAAAGCAAAGTCAAAGTTTATCAGTAAGAGCACTTAGTGTTCAGCATCCTGGACTTCCTCATGATCTTCTGGACTCCAAAGGACTTGAGCAGCTCTGGTTCTCTGGTTCTACTCTTTATAGCACATGGAGCTTACTTGGTAGACTCAAGTCAGCCCTGCTCTATACCTGCTGCTCTCTTTGCTTGACATTCCATGGGCTGGTATCTCAAATACCCTAAGACTATCGTTGCAACTGAACCTTCTCTTTCCCTCTCTCACAAGGCCCAGTCTCAGCTGCTGTCTGTGACTTCTTCATGTTTTCAAAACCAGTCCTATATGTGAGACTCTTAAATATTGCCAAGCTCAGCTACCAGCTTGAAATGCATGTAGCCTTGACCACCATGGACCACAACATCTGTGTGCTGAGGCCAAGGAAGAAACAGTTCCCAGATTTCACCTCAGATGTGCTGGTCTCTTCATCACAACTGATTTTTCAGCCCTAACAGGCCAGAGATCACACATTCTTTTCTTTCTTTTTTATTGATTCTTTGTGGATTTCACATCATGTACCCCAATCTCACTCATCCCCCTGTCCCTTTGTATATTATCCGCACTCTGCCCTTGCAACCCCCCCAAAAATAAAATGATAATTAAAAATGACAAAACCAAAAAAATCTTGTTATGGAAGCTGTAGTGTGTCACACTGAATTACACAGTATATCCTCTTAAGCCATGCATCTTTATTTGCAAGTGTTCATTGCAATGAGGTTCAAGGCCTTTGGCTTCTGGGACCCCTCTTGGATATCCTGCTGTTGCCTGTGTCATGGAGATCCTGCAGCTTTGGATCTGCAGGACCAGCTCCTTCACATGCCCTAGCAGTTCATTGATGGGGTGGATGGGTCTTGGACATTGACCCAGACCCCTGCTGCTTCCTGGCCATAGACCCAGACATGGCCCTCAGTAGCAGCATGGGTCAAGACTTCACTATGGTCTCAGGTGGCTTCACAGGCTACTCCCGTCAGATCGTGCCTCTCCACCTTTGTGTCTCCAGCACTGCCACTCTTCATAGTGCTCAAGCTCTTCTCTTTCTCTCCCATTCCTCCAGCCCATACTTGCACACTGCAGTGGCCACACATCGGGCAGTGTCTCTGGCATCTTCTTCCTGCCCTCTCTGCATGCCAGGTGGGGTCTCTGAGTGGCTGCAAGTGTTTGTCCAACCCAAAGCTTCCAAAGGAAATAAATCTCTGGCCAAAGTCAGATGCAGCATGGCAAAACTGCAATTCAACATCCAGTCTCAAGGTTGAACTGCCAGCACAACTATAGAGATTAGCAGATAGGCTAATGATGAGAAGTAAAATCAGCAGGGCATGTCTAGTCAGTTGTGGGTCTCCAGTCTGCAGGTAGTACTCTTCTTCCTGGGCAAGGATGCAGCTCTCAGAGTCACAGCAACTCATCCAGTGGTTGGTTTTCTCAAAGGAAGAAGGTATAGATAGGCCCACTCACACTTGTGTTATTGTAACTGGCAGTGTAAAACACTTTTTCCCAAGGAACGAAGTTCTCCACAACCTATTTGCTCTCTTCTTTGTCTCCCATCACTCCACCATCTACTTACTCACTTCCCACCATGCCCAGATGGTGGATATCTAGCACCAGGCCATGGTATTGTCTTGGTGCTTTCCAATGCTCCCAGGCCCTTTGTGGGCCCAGTCCAGGCCTCTGTGTTATCTAAGTGCTTCCTGGCATTCAGGATCTGTTTCTTGACGATTCCAATCATGGTGCCTGCCAGGCACAAGTGCCACTCTCACCATTTCTCACCAGACTGGAGGAGACATAGAGGCCCTAGCCAAGTCTACAGCTGCTGCAGCTTCCACCGAGAGCCCAAAGCATGATGATCAGGCCCCAGTGGCCACTAGCACCATCTTGATTCTCAAGACCACATATTCTTAACACAAAGAAACCCTGAGAGAATGTATGAGAGACTCTCAGACTTCCCTGTGAAACTTCACAAATAGGCATTCAGCATTTGCATTTATCTCAACACTCATATTTCCCAAGACCATTCCATTAAGCATTGAGCATTGAGCATTAAGCATCAATGGCTTTTCCAGATTTCTAATCACTTCCACAATCTTCCCCAAAACAACACGATAGGTCTGTCAGTACAATACAGTACTCCTGGTAACAATTCATATCCTAGTTAGGTTTCTGTTACTGTGATAAAATACTGAACCAAAGCAATTTTGAGGAGGAAAAGGTTACTTCATCTTATAAGTTATTGTACTCATCATCAAGATAAATCAGAGTAGAAACACAAGCAGAAAACAAAGCAGGAACTGATACAAAGGCCATGAAAGGATGCTACATATTGGCTTGCTCCCCATCATTTGTTCATTCCCCTTTCTTATACCACCCAGGATCACCTGCTCAGGAATGGAACCACCCATAGTGAGCTGGACCCTCCCACATCAATCATCAATCAAGACAATGCCCAACGAACTTGCTCGCAGGCAACCTGATGGGGAGAAATCCTCACTTAAGATTTTTTCTTCCCAGATAGCTCTATCTTGTGTCCAGTTGTTCAAAAGGTTAACTAGCACAGTGCTGAAAGGAAGATTGTACCTCCTGATCCAATTATACCATGTATACCACATGTGTAGAGAAGATCTAAAGGAGGGTAGATGGCTACCTTCAGACATTCTGTCCGGTTGATGCTTCTGCAGGCCCTAGGTAAATGCCATTGTTTCCTTTTCTTCTTGCCTTACTTCTTCTTCTGAAATATCCTTGAAGATAAGCATAAATCATAGCAACAGATGAGGATCTCATAAGTCATGCCTGTATATTTCAGCAAGCCTTCCTATCTTACACCTGGAGTATGGTTCTTAAACCAGGAGAGTTTCTAATACCACCCTCCTTCCCCCATTCTCCAGGGACATTTGATAATTCACTAAAAACATTTTGTTGTTATTGTTGTTTGATGAAAGATGAGGAAGCTTCCTCTTGTGAACGTCTCATATATAGTTCAATACCACTGTAACCAAGTATTATTTGGCCCCCAAATGCCAATACTAGTGATGGTAAGGGTGACAGACTCTGAACTGGAAAGTAAGATTAACTAATTTGTGTTAGAAACACTTTGGGCCGGGCGTTGGTGGCACACGCCTTTAATCCCAGCACTCGGGAGGCAGAGGCAGGCTGATCTCTGTGAGTTCGAGACCAGCCTGAACTACCAAGCGAGTTCCAGGACAGCCTCCAAAGCCACAGAGAAACCCTGTCTCGAAAAACCAAAAAAAAAAAAAAAAAAAAAAAAAAAGAAACACTTTGAGCCCACTAAGCTTTTATATCCTACTCCTAAGGCGAGCTTCTCATATTATAGAATCTGGTGACCTCTATGTGAGCTTTGACCTGTTTATGTGTATACTGCTGAAGATTATAAAATCAGCAGATGTTGGTCTTCTAGTTTCATTTGCTCAGTGTATGTGACTCCTAGTCTAGTTGATACCTTCTGGGTGATTATAGTTGTAGGTCTGAAACAGGAAGCCCTCTTTGGTCGATTGCCGAGATTGAGGGCAGACCATGTCTAAGGCCCCAAATTAAAAAACCTATAGTGCCCTAGACATATCTTCTAACCAACTACAACCCCTTTGATACTACATATTTTGAGGAATTGAAGATTGGTTAAAAACCACTTATGGCATCTAGCTTCTCAATCTTAGTGACCTCTCCCGAAGAAAGGCTCTGCCTCTAAATCTCATCATTTTTCTTTTCCTTCAAATTCAAAGATGAGAGTGTTGGTCAGCATTAGAAATGCTCTCAAAGTAGTCCGAAAGCATTGGTGTCTCCACGAGAATGGAAAGCATGGGAAACTGACAAGACTGAACTACAATGGGCCCATCCCTTTTAAGACAGGATCTTGCTATAACCTCAGAGTTCCTGTGTAGCCAAGTCCAGTTCCTCGCTTTCTGTCCTCCCGTTTCAGTCTCACAAGAGCAGAGATTATAGATGGGTGCCACTGTAGTTAGCTTTCCGGCTGGAGCTTAGAACAGTGACTTCTTGTCTTTGGAATTTGAATGTTTGGGAGAATACTGGGCATACAGTAGGAGTCCAGAATTTTTTTTCTATGGTGAATGGACAGAATTTGATGAGAAAAATAAACAAGAATCCAAAGTTCCAGTAGATTTGCTGCAAATATGATCAGAGACTTGACTGGAATGCTAAAGATATGCTGAAATGCACTAATGGAGTCAAGGCTTCTGGGAATTAATCATGATGATGGAAGTAGTACTTACTGTACACCATAAAGAATGCAAAAAGAGCTACTGGCACGGTTATAATGTAGATCATAACTTGGTGATTTCTATCAGGAGGGGCTTCTGGGGCTTTGGAGAGAAAAGAATAGCATCAGCTGTAATGTGCAGTCTACCATCCGGTTCCCACCCTGAGCCTCTTCACCATGCACCTTTGGAGAATCTTGGACTTTATTAGCTCATCTCACAGAGACACAGCTGCTAGCATTTTTGTGCACAATTCTACCAAGAATATACTGTGGGTAACTACTATTCAAATGATAGATGGTGAATATGAAAAAAAATAACTTGAATGTTTGCATTGTCTGATCTAACTTGGCAGGAAGAAAGTTTCCAAGGGGATACCTTAAAAGTGTTTATCTTCACCGGGTGTTGGTGGCACATGCCTTTAATTCCAGCACTCAGGAAGCAGAGGCAGGCAGATCTCTGTGAGTTCGAGGTCAGCCTGGTCTACAGAGCAAGTTCCAGGCCAGATTTTCCGAAGCAATACAGAGAAACCCTGTCTCGAAAAACAAAAACAAACAAAACAACAACAACAACAACAAAAAGTGATTATCTTCATAGCTCGCTTCTGTAGCTGATAAGACTAAGTCTTTCTATCCAATCTAGACATACCTACATTTTCTCCTCTGGCTCTATTATGCCTTCGTTCTTATGCATGTTCTCTTCACATCCTATGCCTCCACTCTTATACTCCACGCAGTGACTGCCTTAATATTCAGGAGGTGCTTCTTCAAGATTCAATTTTTTGCCCCCCAGCCTTAAGTTTTAGGGAGATTAAAAGAACTAACAATGACTATGAATTGGTATTAGGGGACTGTTCTGGAAGACAGCTTCATGGACTAACTTCTGGTGAGCCTATAGTCTCACATGGAGCACACCAGGGGTACCAAGGCTGCTGGGGCAGGAGGACAAAGAGATTGATGTGTGTGTTGCTGCCATCTGGTCCTCCTCATCGAGGTAGCAGCTACACCATTTATTTCTCAATCTCTTTGAGAAATGGGACCATCTGAAGAAAGGACAGGGACACAATTTGAAGGGAATATTACCAACACAGCCTCTCTGGCTTCTCTGGAATGGTTTACAAGAAAATATTAAACACTACCTCATTCTCAATTTCCCCCACTACCACACCTCATGGAAGTTTGGCTTTGAGCTTATTTTAGCATTTGGCTCCATGGACCACCTTGTCCTTGGCTTCTCTGATCCCACACTCCCATGTTTATGCTTGCAACACCCATCTTTCTTTGCAGGCACTTCAACCTCATCTTAGTTTCTAAATGTCATTGTTCCCATGGTGTCTGTCAGGAGGCAAAGGCAAGTGGTTCTCTGTAAGTACAAGACAAGCCTGATCTACAAAGGCTAATTCCAGACAGCCTCCAAAGCCACAGAGAAACCCTGTCTCGAAAAAACAAAAAGAAAAAGAAAAGAAAAAAGAAAACACCTGAACTATGTCAACTGGAAATAAAGAGGAAGGCATAAGCCATGCCACCGCTCATATTTAATGTGTGTGTACTACTGAATGTCATACTGCATTGCTTCTGTACTGTGCAGACACAGAAGACATCCTTAGAGTCCGGCTGAGGTAGGAGGAGAGTCCCGAGTGGGTGTCTGTGTACTCATTCAAATTATATGTGCACTCCAAGTATCTGAGATCCCTAGAAACCTGCCATGGATTTAAGATACATATATTTGTATCAAAACAATTTGTCCATTTTATATTTTCACCTTTAGAGAAATGGAATTTCATAAGATTACTACCTATAAGGGTATTGACTCAAAATGACCTATGACCCACAGCCAAGCATTGTCCTTAAATACTTTTATCACATAACTTTACCAGACTTGGCTCTGGATGAACAAGTAGGTGGAATCAAACCCAGATCTTTGGGTGTGCTCTACACCTAGAGTGAATGAATAGTTCTAAAACCAAAAATCCATTCCAAAAAAAGACAATGGTTTCATACAATGGGACCATTGGGACTGGATATCGTAAAGGAAATGCCAAAGTCAGGAAATTACAAAGAAGAAAAAATTAGTCTAGTAATATCACCATCACTTGTCTAGTCATAATGGCACATCCTGTATGTGTAACATGACTAAAATTACCATCAGAGTCAGTGAGTTCAATTCTAAAATGGTGCAGGCTGGGTTATTCTTTTGGATACTATTTAGCAGACACTCTCCAGTGTAATATTGCTTACGTTTTTCCCAGGTGAAGTTCTTTGACACTTGAGAGTCTCCATATGAAACCTGACACACAATACTGTGGTTGTATGTCATATTGAAATCCAGTTTGCTACTGACAGTGTACAGTTCAGATTCAGGATCCTGAGAAATTGTTGTATTGATGCCGCTTAATTCTTTTCCATCTTCCAACCAGGTGAGGCGAGGCTCTGGGAAACCTCCAGAAGCTAGGCACATTATCCTTTTAATGTCCGCAGATGGCTTTCCAAACTGAGTAATGTTAGGAACTGGGAAGTCAGCTAGAGATGGAAAAGCGTACAGTTATACATAGGTACACGTCTGTGTGCATATGTTTATGTTAAATAAATTACCATGCTTCAGTAAGAATGACAAAGTAAGGTCGAATTTGCAAGTCTACGTAAGTCATTAGTAAAACAGCTGGTCTGAAGTGGTCATGTCGGTTGTCTCCCACCTTGAAGGAGGCAGGAAGCACTTAGAGAAAGGAACTGGTTCGTGTGGATAAATGTTGACATACTGCACTCTGTTGTAAGAGGAGAAGAGACAACTGAATGTTTACTGAGCTCCTTTTAGTTATCTCTGGAAACTCCTCTCTTTATGACAGCCTTAGGAGGCTGGGCTTAGATTTAAAAGGGTTATGGATCAAGTGAGGTGGGCTGTGTGTGCCTGGGGTCCCAGGCTGAGGCAGAAGGGCTGTTTGAACTCCACAAGTCTGGGAACAGCCTGGAAAATATAGTGGAAACCCTGCCAACTAAAAAAATAAAATAGCTAGCCAGGGTGGCACATGCCTTTAATCCCAGCACTGGGGAAGCAAAGGCAGGTGGATTTTTATGAGTTTGATGTCAGCCTGGTCTACAGAGGGAGTTCCAGGCCAACTAAGGCTACACAGAGAGACTCTGGCTCAATATATAATGTTAAATAGCACTAACTTAATATGATTGATATTTGTAATTTTATTTTCTAAATAAACAGATTTGGGGAACCCATAACCGTGTGGCAGAACAGAGATCCACAGTCACATTTCTCAACACCAGAAGTTGTGCTTGCTATACACCCATCAATCTCATCCTGTTCCTCCATCCTAATACTGGAAGCACACAAGCGGCTCCCTCTATCTGGTTATTTAGTAAGGAACATGTGTGAAGCCACCTTCCAACCTGAGAAGCAAGAGACCTTTAAGTCTCAGCACTCACAGTCCATGCGTAACACTCCCTTTCTTCTTAAAAAGTAACCAAGCATGGTGGGGCACGCCTGTAAGTCAGGTGTACTTTGGAGGCTGAGGTAAGAAGAGTTTGAGGCCAGCCTGAGCTATACAATAAGTTCTGGGCCAGCCTAGGCTAAGAATAAGAAAATTCCCCCTCCCTCCCTCCCTCCCCCCTCTATATATATATATCTCCTTCAACTCATATAAAACTATGTCCAGAATGTACAATGTTGTATCTGTAACCTCAGCCATGACATGTTATTAATTCCTTGCTACACTAACATTTTAAAGGGACAAAGAGGCCTTCTGGAGTTGACATCATTTGTGTATTTGACCTCCAGTAAGATACAAAAGTAGATTTAGAACAAAGGGTGGAAACTTCTCCTAATCACTTGCTCGTCCACTCTTAGACGTTAGGACTTTAACTCTTCCCCTGCTATGTGGGGCTCAATACCCCCACTTAAGTCCATAGAATGAGTTTTCTTCTTAGAAGTCTGAGTGCTACAGAGCTCATATGAACAGAGGTCAGAGGTCACCAAGAGCAGTTCTTCAGCTGAGGTCTGTCTTGTGGCTGTGGGTCAGTTAATTGGCTCTTAGTCTTAGTTTGCTCATCGGTAAAATGGGATATATGTGCTTTCAGGGCTGAAGGAATGAAATGACACCGTTGCTATAAATCACTTAGCACAGAGCCTGACACAGAATATATTAAGGTAGATGCTCTCATTTAAATCAGCTTGTCAAGGAACACTTCTAAAGCTGCATAGTGGCACTGGGAGAAATGAGGGAAGGGCAGTACTGACAGGCTACCAAGAAGGGGAAAACCCTGAGTTATGTTGGAGGGGATAATAATAATAATAATAATAATAATAATAATAATAATAATAATAATAATAATAAAATTGCTGGTGAATCTTTTTGAGTTTGATGGTAGCCTCCAGACTAGCCAAAGCTACATAGTGAGTACCTGTTTCAAAACCCAAAAATAAGAGCTGGCCATCGGTGGCCCACGCCTTTAATCCCAGTACTCAGGAGGCAGAGGCAGGCAGATATCTGTGAGTTCAAGGCCAGCCTGGTCTACAGGACAGCCTCCAAAACAATACAGAGAAACCCTGTCTCAAAAAACAAAAAACAAACAAAAAATAAAACAAAGAAAAAACAAAACAAATAAAAAATTCCTAAATAAAGTTTGATGTGTTCCTGAGCTTTTTATAGTTTGCATTTTAATTTTCTACTTACTAGCTTATAACTCTATCAAGTTACTACACTGATAGGCAACATGAAAATGTTACTTTTGTTTCTCTTAACCATACATCATGGGCTTTAACCTGGAGTAACAAATCTAACCACCTTATGATCTGAGTCATGACTCACGTTCACTCACGTCTGTGTTCTACTTTTCTGAGAAGCAGTTAGCTTAGTAGGAGCCACCTTTCCCGAGTCTGACTGAGCTCACAACAGCCTCAGCGTGGTGTCCTAGTCCTTTTACAAGAAAATCTGTTTAGAGTAATTACTCTGAAGCTCTTGCCAGACTGTGAACCATCTAGAGATTAGCCCTTTTGCAGAACACTCAAGTTCAGTTGCACTTTTCACACTGGGTGACTCACAACCGGGTATAACTTCAGCTCTAGGGGATCCTTCTTCTGTCTGCTGTGAGCATCCACACAACATATGTACACAGTTTATATTAAAAAAAGATCAGTTCTTTCTATCTCACATAACTCAATTAATAATACAGGTTTTGGCCAATCTTAGTGGAGAAGATAAGGGTATCTTACGAACAAAGGTAGGGGTACAAATTATTCAGAAAGGTCAAAAGTCTGGGACCTAGTTAACTTGTTCCCCAAAATAGGCACTTCTCAAGTGCAGTTCACAATACAGGCACATCTCATCAAAGTTATGTTCCTACAAATCAAAAGGCATTTCCGGCCATTTTAGTGCCTGGCATGGTTACTGTGACCTTGTGTTGTCCAAGCACAAAAGTACATTGATAGGTTTTCCACCTTGACCAACCAGTTAGATTCTCTGTAAAACTGGAAACTCACTGCTCAGATATGAAATGAGATGCATCCTTCTTTGATAAAACTGTCACCTACATCAACAGATGTGTGCCTTTTTGAACACCACAGATCAGCAAATCAGAGAATCCTACCAACCTCTGACGGACAGCTCCACAGAAGTCAAGTGCTTCCGTACATAAGACCCTCTTTCTTTCTTCTGAACCACACAGGTGTACGTGCCCCTGTCTGACAGGAAGAGGGGCAGGATCATAAGACGGAAGTTGTCAGTGACGTCAAGTAAGGTCCGGTTCTTATACTGGGGCCACACTTCTTTGTCCCCAGAGATGAAACTCAGCACCATTTCCTTATCTTTTTGCCAGTAGATTCGGAGTATGTTTAGCTCCTCAACGGAATAGTTGTAACCACAGGGTAGTGATACTTTTTCTTTCACTGACTTGGACACTTGGGCAACACCTAAGAAAAGGCAAGTTAGAAAAGACTGAACAACCTTTATTCAACAAACCAAACCCATTCCATCAAGAGACCAACAGTGATGATTGACTCTACAATGGATTTTTTTTTTTTGCCCTAACACATTTTTGTTGATGTTATCTGTTTTGTTGTTGTTTTTAGAGGTAGGGTAGCCTAGGCTGTTCTGGGACTTGCTATGTAGACCAAGCTGGCCTTGGACTCACCAGATCCTCCTGCTTCTGCTCCCTGAGTGCTGGGATTAAAAGTGTGCCCAAGCATGCCCAGCCTCAACACATTTTTTATTGTTGTATATTAAATACACAAAATGATGGGTTCATGTTGTGGAATATTCCTTTACACTGTGTGAAGATATTTCACTGTGATTGGTTTAGTAAAAAGCTAAATGGCCAATAACTAGGCAGGATTTTGGGGGCAGAGAGAACGCTGGGGGAAAAGTAGGGTGGAGTTATAAGGAGATACCAGGACTCAGAGGAAGCAGTATGGGCAGTACAGAGTAAAGGCAATAGGCACAAAACAAAAAGTAGATTGATAAAAATGGGTTAATTTAAACTATAAGACCTAGTTAGAAACAAGACTAACCTATTGGCTAAGCTTTTAAAATTAACCAAAATGAATAATAAACTTGTAGTAGGACCTTTTTTCAGGACCACAGGCTCCCCACTAATGACACAGAGCCTGTGGTCCTGACAAAAAGGTCCTACTACAAGTTTATTATTCATTTTGGTTTCTTGAGACAGGGTTTCTCTGTGTAGCCCTGACTGGCCTGGAATTCACAGAGATTCACCTGTCTCTGCCTCCTGAGTGCTGGGATTAAAAGCGAGGACCACCACCGCCAGCTTTCACTTATTATTTTTATTGTGGTTAAAAAGAACCACATAAACAACTATGTATGTTAGATATTTATAATCCAAGCACTTGAGAGGCTGAGGCAGGAGAACAAGTTTGAGGCTAGCTTGTCCTACACTGGGAGGTCCTGTCTCAAAATACCAAAGGGCGGGGATGTTGCTCAACACTAAAGCACACGTGTTCATGTGCAAGGCCCTGGGTTTGACTGCCAGCACTGAAAGAAATACATCAAGTTTACTATGGTGACCATTTTTAAGTGTAGAGTGGAAAAATATCTTCACACTGTTGTGAGAGAGATCTCAGAGTTGTTCATATGTGTCATGAATCTCTGTACTTATTAAACAATAAACTCTCTTCCATTTCTCTCACCCCTGGAACCACAATTCTACTGCTTGTTTCTATGAATTTGACTGCTTTATATATACTGGCCTTTTTGCAGGTGGCCTGTTTTACTTAATATTATGTCTTCAAGGTTTATTTATCTTGTGTTATATGACAAATTTTCCTTGCTATATGATATGACAATAATGATCATAAATAATTTCCATCTCTCTCTGTCTGTCTTCCCCATATATATATATATATATATATATATTTTTTCCAGATTTGTATGTTGTTTAATCACATGCACACAACTGATAAGTCTATTCATCTGCTGATGGACATCTGAGCTGCTTCCATGGATAATATTGCTGTGAACAAGGGTGTGCAAATACCTCTTCATAACCCCAATTTCACAAATCAGTCTGGTGTTGGTCCTACCCCAGGCTAGTCTTGAACTCTCTATGTAGCCAAGGGTGACCTTAAACTCCTGGTCTTCCTGTCTCCACCTCCCAAGTGCTGGGATTACAAGCAAACACTATCATGCTTGGCTGTTGGGAGCGATCATTGTTATTTAGAACCTCTTGTAAATATTTCCAGCCTTTTTAAAGAATAGTCCATTCCCTCCCCAACTTCCTAATGAACAGAATTTGGGCTCACAGGAATAGCTGATGGCAAAAAGGAAACACTCCACAATTAGATCACTTAACCCCTCCCTCTGCGACCCCATCACCTTGCCAACACCTGTTATCAACTCACCTTCAGTGGACTGGTTACTAGGCAACGACCCCTCCCTCGTTGTCCTGCCTTCCCCTGCCCCATCCCCCTACCTCATTTCCCCTATATAAGCCTGTACAGAATTCTCACTAAATGCAGCTTGATCAGCCATGTTGTCTTGCTGTCCACCTTCTCTTGTCTCTTGTTCCGTCATTCCAGGTTCCTGTGGGCTCGACCCCGGTTGTGCCCTGCTGGTCAGGGCACCTGGGGCCCTGTTACTTCTTTTTTTTTTTTTTTTTGGTTTTTAGAGACAGGGTTTCTCTGTGGCTTTGGAGGCTGTCCTGGAACTCACTTTGTAGACCAGGCTGGCCTCGAACTCACAGAGATCCGCCTGCCTCTGCCTCCCGAGTGCTGGGATTAAAGGCGTGCGCCACCAACGCCCGGCCCCTGTTACTTCTTATGTACTCTATCTAAAATATTGATAGATAAAGATAAAATAGCCTTGACCAAAACCAGGTGAATGTGCTGCTATTTGCCGATAGAGCACGCACTACATCATAGTGCCTATGATACCCTTCCTATATTGTTTCCTTTGTTGCTGGTGGCCGTATCAGAGGAGCAGCAGGTGACAACTGACTTCAGGGTGCCGGCCCACCAGCATGCAAAACGCTGATGGGTGTATCTTGGAATGGCAAAACACATTACACCCCCACCCTCCCACTCTCTCCAGCGCCCCCCCACTCCCCACCACGCCCCACTGAGAACTTTGGCCCCAGAATGTCTGTTGCTACTGCTGTGTCTTCACATGTTTGCCACTGTCATTTTTCTCTGGTATCTGGCATGGTGTGAATGGGTGTGGAGGGGTCCCCATTGCCTTTAATGTGGTGTGATCATCTCATGGAAATATTCCATTCTACTGGGCATTTTTACCTGTGGATTATTATGAAGATGATCTCCTCCTAAACTGTACTGTTTAAAGTGTGCCCCTGCCCCTGATGAAACATGGGCTGCAGAGGATGGAAAATAAGAACAAGGAAATGTCATGCAGCTGCTTTCTCTTAAGGAGCCGTATAGACTGTGGCTTAGGTTAATTTAAGAAAAACACCTGAGTCCCAGAAACTAAGTTAGCTCAAGTTCTTTTGATCTTAATATAGAGAGATGTGTTCACAGGTTTTGGTGTGCATCATAGCTAAAACAGAACTTTAAAATATGACTTAAGGTTAGGTCAATTATGTTAAGATGTTTTTGTTAATGGCTTTGAGGTAAAAAAAACTTATAAAACAATTTAAAGGAATATTTTAATAGCTGAGTGAGGAATTCATTGAGGTCAGGAAATAAGAATAATTACAACCTGCCTATTGCTGGCTGCTGTACCTTTCTTGCTAGGAGAGGTTGGTGATCAAGGGTGGTGACTAATTCCTTGTATGCATTTCTGCCCTCAGCTTCTTGATATTAAAAAAAACAAAACAAAACTGTTGATGAATGGGTACGCACCCTGAGGATTTAAAATAGATTCTTTTTCATATGTAGAAGTTTAGATTTGTGATTCTTCTGAGATTTCTTATAAAATTACCCTTTGAGATAAATAATAAAATCATTGGTCCTTTCTTTGTAACCTCAAAGTAAAGCCTGACAACAAAAGAATTGGCTGAGAAAAATTCCTTGTTTTCTTACACTCTGTTCATCTATAACAAGTCACTTGAGTGTGAATGTATGTGCGTTCTTGGGACAGCTTTTCACCTGTAAAATGTTTAATCATATAAGGGATATGGAAAACATGCTGTTTTTACTTTTATTTATTGTAATCTTTTGATTGAAAAACAGAGTGTAACCACATTGCAATTTTTATATTGCTTGAAAGATTTTGCTAGGGTATATAAGCCATAAGGGAAAAAAATAAAGCTAGTTAGAAGGAAGACATCAAGAGAGACAGAAGTGGTACATCTAGATAGAGGTAAGAAAAGAAATAAAGAACAGAGAGAAAGGATGATACAGAGAACATGGGGGAGAGAGAGAGAGAGAGAGAGAGAGAGAGAGAGAGAGAGAGTATGTGTGTTTTCATTTTTTTGCCTGCCCCAGAGAGTTAAGTTTAGCAACCTCCAGACCCCACAGAATTAAGTTTTACTCCATCAGATAGAAAAGTCAAGTTGAGTGATAGTTCACCCACTCCCTTGGATCAATCCCGGAACTGCTAGAGGCTAGTCTTCATGGTACTTTGGTACCATGAGGTAACAATTGCAAGTTCATCTGCTGCCCTGACCTGCCCTGTGAGCTAGAGGTCACAGCATTTTACAGAGGTCTTGGCAGAAACTTTGAGACCTTTAGGAAGCTCAGGACAGAGGGGACTATGACTCTATGCCCTGCAGTTCTTTATCACAAAGGAATAAAGAAGGCAGATAAGAGAAAACACCAATTTAAAAGAGGGCCATATTTTAAATAGGCAATACAACAGAACATCTTTATTCTTAGAGCCCACATTTGTGAACTGGCCTAGTCTCCAAAATTATTTATATTTTATTTGTGGTGTTGTGGCAGGATCTCAATATGTATCTCTGGTTGTCCTCTAACTGATGGCAAACCTCCTGCCTCAACCTCCACTAGGATTACAGAAATGTACTGTCATGTACTGTGGTGATATATTGTTTATGATCTAATAAAGCTTGCCTGGAAATCAGAATGCAAAGCTAGCCACAGCCGTAGAGGCCAGGCAGTGGCCAGGCTGGGTGGTGGTGGTCCATGCCTTCAATCCCAGCACTAGAGAGGTATGTAAGACAGAACAGGGTCTCAGAGGAGGCAATTAGTCTCCAGCCATGAGGACAGAATTGCCCCAGCCTTGGTAGAAGTCAGAGCTCTCTGGTGGCTGGCTGCTTTGCTTTTTCTGATCTTCAGATTGAACCCCAATATCTGCCTCTGGGTTTTTTTTTATTTGTGCTAAAATACACAGCTCCAAAATTTATTTAGAACCCAGAATCAATACTTGTAGGGTTTTAGACATGGACAGAACAGCAGAACACATGAATGCCTGACATTTCCAACAGAGGTAGAGTAGAGCACAATGGTCTCTATCTCATCAAAACAAAACAACAAAAACCCTACCC